ATATATATATATATATATATATATATAAGAAATGTGTAAAAGCCAGGATTTGTTTATTTATGATTGATCAAAACGTCATACTTTATATATCCAATCAATTTTAACTTTTAATCTTCAGTAATTTATTTATCGTTACTATTTTTGTTTACCCACTGCAGCAATTACATAGTTGATAAAAAAACAACTCACAAACCCCATGAGTGGTAATGAGATAAGTGAATGTCATTGTGTAACTGTGATTATCTAACTGTCTAAGTACTGATCAACTCTGAATATTCTTACCTGAATTTTTGTAGTACAAAATTATTTCTGTAGCTTTCAAAAGTAAATAACACAAATCCCGTATCAGTAACAAGAAAAGAAAACATCTACAGAGACTACAAATAAATATCAAGGTCTGATATCCTAGAAATTCCAAGATCAGTAATGTCCTTAAAACTGTTTTTAAGAACAATGTGCTCAGAACTCTCTACATACTTTCACGAAGAATACTGCATCAAGTTCGTTTTGAACAACCTACAGAAAGATGCTGGTGAGATCATTCCCTAGTAAATCTGTTACATAGTAAATGGCCTTATATAACTGAATCTATTGCTTGTCAGTTCTCCAACAGTCTGAAAAAAAAAAATTTAACTGTCCTAAGCTCCTTCTCTCATTTCTTTGACACCATGACTCGTAGGCTTCAAATATCTTTTGGATGAACTTCTTTAAGAATTTGAGCATCATAAACTAGAATTTTTTTGTTCCTAGTGACAAATATCCAAAATTGCAAAGTGACAGAACATAGGAAATGTTTTTATCTGTAAACAGTTGATCATACTTGTTCATGGTATGGGTTTGTGGCTGCACCAGTTAGCCTGTTTGTAACTTTGAATGAATTACGTGAGATTGAACAGTACTCAGAATTGTGTTCTTTGATCTCCAAACTACTCTGAGCAATTTATCTGCACTAGAAAGTTTGAGGAGTTCTCTTTGGAATTCTTTGGTGGTTTGTTTTTGGTTTTGTTATCCATCAAAACGTTTTTGATAAGAAAAAACCTAATTTTTTAAAACTTATAATTCACATCTATCAGTACATATTAGTTTTAAAAGTATTTTAGATTTTACCTCAATAAATCCAAAACCAACCACTTTTATCAGCCTAGTTGCGTCATATAGTCATTGTTAAAATTAAGAATTAGAATAACGAATATGTACAATCACCTTAATATCATGAAATTCTATAAACTTTTTTCTTCCTTCGTAGTTGAATGATTTTCTTCCAGTCCTAAAGCTGTATGATCTGTTGTACCCTGAGAAAGAGCCACTACCCCTCCCAGACGTAACCAAAGCTAGTGCAACCCATAGTCTGGCCATCACCTCAATTTGGATACATCTTATGAAACGAGTTCAGACAGATAAAGTTAACCTTCAGAGGCCTGTGCCTCAAGCTCTTAAGACCCATTTAGAGTATGTATTATTTTATAATTAGTGTTGCAATGTCTAATAACTTTTCCTCCATCACCGGATGATATTCTAAAATACTGTAATATAAAAAGTTTCTGTAACTTTATAATTTTATTAAGTTGTATTTCAAGGATTATCAGCAATAAATATTTTCTTCTCTGTTACTTGATGATATGAAAAATATCATAAATTAAGTATATTTTAAACTTTCAATAAAATTAGTGTTGATATTATTTAAACTTTTTTTGTCTGTAATATCTTGATCTGTTTCAAGAAATGTTATGACTTTGAGATTATTTAATGGAAACATTTAAAAAATAATATAAAAAAGTAGACTGTTTTAGTAACAACTGTATGTGCATACTGATCTGCCTTTTAGCTTGAACACAAACTACACTGTCACTCTTATGCAATGTTTGTAAGTCTGACTGCTTTGTTCTGGTGAAGAAATATTAAACAGTTATATATTTTTATAAACACATTTTGTATATTCTTTCTAGTTGAATTTTAAGCAAGATATGGAACGTAGTAGATAAAATCACTACATGGTTTATACTACTTACTGCAGAGTTAATTTTTTGTTTCAGTGTTTATCTACATGTATTTTATCATTTTGTTTTGTAAAAGACAAATATTTTTACCATGTATTATAAATTTTATTCTATGCAATTAAATATGATTGTCAAAAATAACTTGTAGTGAGTTAATAATTTGTAGTAACCTTACAAATGTCCATCATTTGAGAAAATTATAAGAAAGTCATTAAGATATCTGTAATGTCATATTTATGTAGTGTAATATTTTAGAGAAATTTATATATAACTGCTAGTTTTGTATATATTTGTAGGATAACGATTGTGATGAAACTAATCTACATTTAAATATAAAGTTCACTTTTCATATGAGATTATATAGTTTAGACATTGAGGCAAGTGAGGATATGATATAATCGTCTAGCTTTAAAATACGATACTTAACTCTGTGATTATTCTTTCAGGTTCTTGCAACGCAGTTTGATGAGTACTGATCTGCCTATTAGCTTGAACACAAACTACACTGTGTCACTCTTATGCAATGCTTGTAAGTCTGACTGCTTTGTTCTGGTGAAGAAATATTAAACAGTTACATATTTTTATAAACACATTTTGTATATTCTTTCTTTAGACTTATTTCTGTGATAATGATAACATGATTAGGAGTTTTTAACATTGGTCAAAGCACGGGCTCTCACTCCAGTTATGGAGTTATGTTGCTGTCTAAGTAGTGTGGTGTCATCTTCAATTTCAAAGCACTGACCACAGGAAGACAGCCTTTTATATATGTTATTTTCATATTTATTTTGGCTTTGTTTAATTACTTATTATTACTATTATGTATCATTTTTTCCACAACAAGTTCATAATATAAATAACAGGGGATTCCACTTATGATATAAACAAGTGAAGTCAAGACTGCTAATCCCTGCTCAATGCTATAACAACAGGACAAACAAACAAACATCTCAGCCAAGCTTCGACAACATGATGAATAATTGCAAAAACTAAGCGTATTAATTGTAGTTAAGTATTGTATTCTCAAAATGACTGTAAATTAGAATACTTATAAGAAACTAAGAAGAATATTAATATTTTTAACTACAATCACTGAGGACAAGTGCTGTAAAAACTTAGCTAAGTAGACCAAATACTTCTTGTTAATATAATTTCATTGTTGTTTAAGACAGTAAAGTTATAGGTATTTTGCTTAAGAATAATTGTGCCATCTTCCCGGTTGCTAATCATAACATATAGTGACATGTAGAATTTTAATATAAGATTTGTGTATAGTGTTTGAATGTCATAAATTACTACATTTAAACTTGTTTTAAGACTTGAGTGTATGATATATCATCATATTATAATATTTACATAATTACAGTTATTTCATTAACAAGTTTACTATAATCTGCGATAACTTACTGCATGTATAAAAATTTCAGAAAAAGTTTTTTGTCTAATCTTTGTTTATCTGGTCAAATTTAGTTTATTGTGTAGTAAAACTATTTATTATAATGAAATTACTGTATTCAAAGTAATAAACTGTGATATCTAGAACTACTTTGTATTAAGATAATTTAAATTCTGTGTCATACTTTTCTATGTTTTGAAATACAAAAGTACGCGATGTTTTGAAGTGAATGAACCAGGAGATAGAAATAATTTTAAATGTTTTGGTATTAAAACTGCATGATTGAATTATCACTTCGAATCTTAAAAAACAGTGCATGACCTAAAGATAGCTGTAGTATAGCAGTACAAAATTATATCAAGATAAATTATCATTGTGAACTAATGTAATTATCATACACAATAAGTATTAAACAGTTTTTAATCATTGAATGTAAAAGGAAGTTTGAAACATTTATCTTATACTTGATAACCTTCAGATAGCACAAACCAAGACTACTTTTCTCGGCCTATGGGGGTACTGGTTGAAGCTGTTTATGGGAATCAGAAATCTCAACAAGCTGCACTGAACACATCCAGCTCCACTGTTTTGGGCCCAGTTCAACCACTGTCCATGATTGTCCTTGACTCTCTAACTGTTCACACCAAAATGAGGTAGTGTTTTTAGCAGATTGTGGCAGTTTCTGGCTAAAGCTTTTTATCCTTATAATCAACATTTGTACACAAATAAAACTCAAATTTACTCAAAGCTATTTGTAAATATTATAACTTAATGAAAACTTAAAGATCTCTAGTCTCTTAGCTATGTTTTTTATCATAGTTTGTACAAGTAGTAACTCATGAATGATTAAATGACATCCGATATTAGATTTTTGTTTTAATGTAACTTGTCCAAGAAATAGTCACCTCTGGTGAGATTAAATTAAACTGAGTGTTGTAGTTATGAATCTAACATTATGTTATTAACAGTCAGTTCACAAGAAAAGGCATTTATGTCTTTTTGACTTTGAAGGTCTGATTAAATGTGCTTTACATATTTTTCCAATCAAGAATAAGTATATTATAATACATGCTTACTTAGTATAAATCAACTTTTACATTGAAAATCAGTTATGCTGCTGCCATGTTTTGTAACTGTTAACATTGCTTGTAGAATAAAAGGAAAATAAAAAATATAATTTTGATTGTCACTCTTTTTTTTTCTTCTCTATATATGGATGTATCTTGGTCAGAAATGTATTAGGGGCTTAACTCTATCATACCCAGATGTGTGCATTCTGCCTTGAGTGAAACATTGCACCATTGATTTAAAACATTACAGAAAATAAACTTATAGTCATTATTTCACACATTTAAAAAAAGCATTTGTCAGAAACTACTTTATAGTAGTATATATAGTAATGCAAGTATATTGGGGGTGTTGGACTAAGGATTCTTCAACAGTAGGTTTCTGTGACTTGTTGGCAATAAATCTGACAATAAACAAACAGTACGCACTCCACTTGTTTTTAAAATAATATATATATTTAGAAACAAGTTGAATGTATATACAAAATTCTTTACACCATATAGATCATAGGTGTATCTTACACACTATACAATTCTCTTCTTCCTGTCAAAAGTCCAGTTAAGCCTATTCAGTTGTTTAGAATTCAGTTGATAAGCCAAACTATTTTTCTCTATTTTTATTGCAATAGTATCCATATATAATTCTCTTACACTGTTGCATGAGTTACCACAGTTGTATCCTGTGCTTCCAATAATTATCTGCTTTTTTGTGCATCCAAATAATCATCTGTTTTTCTTCAAAGTCCACACAGGTGGGTTCAATTAGCTTAAAACATCCTTTGACAATACAAATTATTCTCCTTATCTCTTGCAAACTATTAATCTCACTATAACTTTTCTCTCTCACTGAACTTCTGTTTCCTGTGACTTTATTTTTTTCCTCTCTGTTTCTGCTCATATGGTTGTCATTATTTATACGTCTATCACTTAAGCCATCTAGAAATCTCCATAGCCTGGACATCAATGGATTGCAAATGAAACATTTGATAACCTTGATATCAATGAATTACAAACACAAAATAGATAAAATAATAATACTACCTATACTAAACAGTCTTTAATATCTGACAACATTTTAGAGTAGGGATTTAATTTTATACTTAAGTAGAAAAAGTTTGCAACTTTTGAACTTAGGTTGAATATAGTGTATCCAAACAAAAACATTAGTGTTTTGAATTTCCAGTATTTTTTCTGATGGTGCTGATAGATCCTAGGATATTTGAAATAGTTTAGAACAAAACAGTGTTGATTTTGCCTTGTAACTTCAGTAGAACTGTAGTTTTATAAATTTTAACTAATTGATGTTTCTCAGTCTCAGTCTGTGTAATATAATTGTCTTTATCTCAGCTTTGAGGAGTCATAGGCTAGTTATCTGAACATGTAATTAAACTCTCTTTCTCTTTTTCTGATATTTGCAACTGTATAAGCCAATATGGCTTCTATTTCAGTGGAAATTCACATAAAGATCCAAATAAAGTAATAAAAACTTAGGTTTGTGATATTTTTCTAGAAGAAAATTTGTTTGTGAATAATTTCTGCCACAATTACAGTCCTGATTTTTTTTTTTCTGAAGCTTGCTGCCTCATTTTTTACTTCATTTAAATTATGATGTTGCTGTATAATAGGAAATGTTTCTCATGGAACAAGATGAAGTAGGTTTAGTTAAATCGTTTTGCACATGAACATATTCAGTTCAATTTCACCAATGTGGCCACTGTGTTTACATTAGCTCTTCTTGGACAATGTAGCTTGCTGTTTATACAGATCTTCTGTTTTATGAGTAAGCCAATACATAATATCTATATAGATAGCATATGTTGATCGGAAGTTAATATTAATTACTTTATGATCTTCTCCTGTTGATCCAGGATCAAGATGATTAGCTTGTTGTTTATACAGCTTTTCGGTTATATGAATAAGCCAGTATATGATATCTGTGTAGGAAACTTGCTTTAAACAGAAGTTAATATTAACAACTGCTTATGTGGGCAAAGAAAATCACTGGAAAAAAAAGTAAAATGCGTATCTATAGATTAATATAAAATTTGTTTAAAACTTATCACATACATTAAATGAAATCTTTTTATTGACAGTTTTAAAAAAAGTTGGCTTGATTTTAAGTTTATGGTAAAAAATATTTTTTTTGTATGTCAGTGATTGTAAGCAAAGTAAAACTGTGTGTGGTGTTTTTTGAATTGAAATAATGATAAAACTTTATAGGAAAATTTTAGAAGAATGTAGGAAGACAAAAATCAGTAATTAAAATCTTCAACAAAAGTTAGCATTTTTAGAACATCACATTGAAATCTTTTCAAATCTTCACTTAAAAAAATGTTTTATTTTCAGGTGCTACATAATCTGTAGAAAGTACTTCTGAAGTTTCAAACTATTTCAACCAGTATTTTTGTTTTTTACAATGCAATAAAACAAGCCAAACAACAGGCATATTGAATTTATACATCCTGGCATTTTAGAGCTAATCAATTGATAGAAGGCATCTACAAGAAACGTGATATCCCAGGGCCATTAATGTGCAAATGCAGGCTACCAGTTCCATAGGTGTCACACCAAGTAGGAAGTTGGGTAGCATAATAATTAATGCTTCAAAGTTGAGGTATACTGTTGAGTTTGTTTTTGGATGAGCTAGGCATCCAATATATGGTGCTCAGTCTGGAAGATACCTTTTGTATATCCCATTCACAACTTTCTGGTGGAAGATACACAAACACAATTAAAAGTACACCACCGACATGAGACTAAATTTCAATCAATTTTTAAGATAAAGAGCTATGTGACTCAACTGTTTGCAAAGCAGAAGCACGCATCTTTGACCAATTGTCAGACTTCACAGCAAAGTGAAATGTTATGAAAAGTGCAGGGAGAGATGAAAGTTTTGCCAGTAGAAAAATAATGAAATTGGGACCAGTATTATGGAAACAAATTTGGAAGCTTGCACTGATAACATCATACTGTCAAATTGAACTTGTGCTAGTAATAACACAGCCAATTTGTCAACATGGATTAGGGTTAGACATGGAGATGTGGCCAAGAGTTACAAAGATTCCCTCCTGTTGAAAAACATGTTTCAGAGGCATTCATTTCGTTGAAAGCATGCCCACCTTACCCTGGTGAACTGAATAAACCAGTAAATTTGATCAAATGTCTCATGATTTCATAGTATACATAAGATGTCTGTTAAACATCATGCTATAGAAGTTATTTTAACTATAATAGTTATTTTGTTTATTTATTTTATTAGCACAGTTTTTGATGAGACCCCAGTAGCTAATAAAGTTTGGTACTAAATGCATAATTTTTGTTTTTTTCTTACATTAGCTTAAATATGCATGTTTTGGATTCAACATGTAATGACTTGATACATTAAAATGTATTTTACATTTACTTCTCTATGCATCATCTTCTGGTTATATATATATTACTCTGAAAAAGTGATGACTTAGAGGGTAATATCTCTACCAAGAGGCAAATCAGAACATTTCGTAATGCATTCTTCATATGCTCTGCTGATCTACAATCAACATAAATATCATAGACTCAAATCATACAGCACAATGAATCACTTTTCAAAAGTTGGTCAGAATATGTACTGAAAGATTCTTTGTTTAATGTATTAGCTGTTCATTTTTACCAGCTCTAAAACCACTAACATAACTTACAGATTGTGAATCATTGTTTAACATGAGAATAAAAAAAAACTAATATATATAAAAGTATTTTGTGTAAGTCCTGAACAACGTAAAAAAAATTCATTATCATACTAATGAATCCATGATATATAAACACACAGAACTGATGTGATAGTTGAAAGTTAATTGTTATTTCACTGTTTATTGACAGCCTAATCCACAATATTATGTCCCACATTGTGACCCATGTTGTCAAACAAGCTCAAAGCAAGACCTCTACACCTTTGGCCCCTGCTCTAGTAGAGACATATAGTAGACTTTTGGTCTATAATGAGATTGAATCCCTGGGCATTAAAGGTTTTATAAGTAAGTTTTATTCTTAGAAGTTGTTATTTAATTTAAAAAAAAATATATTGCTGTGAAATAATATACAAGATCTGTAAATAAAATGTTTAAAGGAAATGGCACTTATTAATTTATAAATCTTACATCTTTAATGTTTATAGGTAATAAGCTCTCTTACATGTTTTGTTTTGGTTTTCTTTATATTGAACACAATAGTTTTAAATTTTAATTGTCATTTTTCATGTTGTCGATCCTTTTAGTGCTTGTGTAATCTTTCAAATTGTTAATACAAGAAACAAAAAGTTATAATATATAGGAAATGCATTTAATAACTTAGTTTTGCTATGGTAACCTGTGAGAAACCTTGCTTATTTGGTACAACTACTTGAATGGATATTGTTTAGTATTGAAACATGACAATTTGATGGTTTAATTCTGATTTCATATTATTTATTAGCTCTGTATGATTTCTTTAGCACTTGAATAAATTATCTGTTCTGTTTATGATTCTTGATTAGTAAAATTAAGTAAGATGCTGAAAGTATTATTTACAGTACATTTTTGATTAATTTTCTTTTCTCAATAGGCAAGTAACAAAGCTGGTAATTGTAAAGAGTTCTATGTCTACTATCTTTGAATTACCTCATGAGTAATTTAGAGTTGGTGGCTAGCAAAAAAGTATCTATTCAGATTTTAAAAGTTTTGTGTATGTAATACATGTTATTTCCAACTTATTTTAAATTATTTTGATTTAGCCCATCTGCTTGTGAATGTGTTACGTCACCAAGCATGGGGGACCTTGCACACCTTGTTGGAAATGTTTACTTACCGACTTCATCACATTTTGCCTCATTATCGTATACACTTGCTCACACATCTTCAAAACCTAGCTACACTTTCTCAAACCAATCAGATTCAGCTGTTTCTGTGGTGAGTTACTATATCTTCGTTCTTTTATAACCTAACAATGTTTCTTTAGACCAAATAGGTTCAGCTGTTTTTATGTTGAGTTATTACCTGTTCATTCTTTTTTAATGTAATAATACTTTCTCAGACATGCCAGATTCAGCTGTTCCTGTGGTCAATTACTACCCCTTCATTTCTTTTATAATCTAAAAATATTTCTTCAGACCAACCAGATTTAACTGTTCCTGTGGCGAGCTGTTGCCTCTTCATTCTTTTTTTATTAACTATCAATATTTCCTCAGACCAACCAGATTCAGCTGTTCCTATGGTGAATTACTACCCCCTTCACCTTCATTCTTTTATAATCTAACAATATTTTTCCAGACCAACCAGATTCAGCTGTTTCTATGGTGAGTAATGATTTCTTCATTCTTTTATAATCTAATAATATTACCTCAGACCAACCAAGAAAGCTGTTTGTGTGGCGAGTTATTATCTCTTCGTCGTTTTGACATTGCTTGTAATTATAATAATTTTGTTTCAGTTAATTAGAATTAACATCAACCTCAGAGATAGATGAAATTAATAGCCTGTTATACACAGGTCAATTATTTTTTTACTGCTGCTATAATAAATTCCGTTTTTCACATTATTTAGTAGCCCGGGTTACTGTTATCTGTATTTATTCAAGAGAAATTTAACAAATGAATGTAGCTTGTCATGTTCATTTAATTCGTGCTTGTATCCATTATCACCCATTTTGTGTTATTTAGTCATATTGCAAAACTTTAAAGCTTTTTTTCCAATAGTAGAAAAGTGCTACTGAAAATTCATAATGTAGCAAAATGGATCTGACTTTTATGTATCATGGTTTCAAGCAGAACTACAACATGTTAAACCAGAATGTTGGAAGGGTAAAAGAAATTTGTGGCAGTATTAGAAGATGAAACACCAGTGTTAATTAATTGATTATTTCTTTGAGTCATGACACAAATGATTAAGCTGAACAATCTTGAATTAATCTAAAATAATAATGAGAAACCAGAATGGCAATATTTGGATTACTTTGATGGATGGAATAATTGAAAATACTAATAATTGGAAACATTAATTTTGATTAGTTCATTATTTTTGTGACTTTAATTAATTTAAATGTAATTCTGATTGATCAGTTATTTTATTGCATTGACACTAATTGATGTAATATTGATAATTATAGGTAAATGATTATGTTGATTAATCAAGTTAATTATCCACCTTAAGTCAGTATTTCATGAAACATCTTGCATTGATGAATATCATTTAGCCAAATTTTCACTTCATAATTCAGTTTCTCTCACAGTATTTTTAAACATTGCTTCATATTTTTAATTGTGCTTATTAAAAACCATGGCAGTGGAGAATTTCTTAAAGCCATCAAAGGTTTTTGCACAAGTAACAAAATTATGGTTTTATGCTATGTGAAACATCATGATGACTCGGTCACATATCAGTAGACAAACAATACGTCTTAAAGCTTTAAGCCAACCAGATACTAACATACTTCACTGAATAACATAGAAATCTAAAATGTATTAAACAAAAACTACTGTTCAAAATTTACAAGGGCTACAATTCTAATTTGATCCTTGTGTAGGTAGTTTAAAAATTAATTTACATTTTAATGCAAGTATTTAAATAAACAGTTGCAAAGAAGAAAAGTTATACTATAAAAAACCTAGATTCATTGATGCCTGTAAATGCATTTTTTAAAATATTTAATTTATTCTGTTAGTATGGAAAGTACAGCACTGAAGTTGATCATGAGGCTTGGTAATGCGGAGGTGCAACCTCAGTTATCACGCTTCCAGAGTGAGAACAGAAATCAACCAGTCATCTCTGCAGAATCAGAAGAGCTCAACAAAGCTCTTATTCTTACATTAGCACGTGCTATTCATGTGACAGGTGATCTTGGTATTTAGAGTACATGTCCTTTACTTTTGTGTTCACACTTAATTTTTCAAATGTAGAACAAATTATGTAAACCAAAATTTCTAATTTACTAAAATATTGATGATATTATTATTGTATGTTTATAGTCTTGCTGTAAGCAGTTTTTTAAGATCTTCATATGCCCTAAATTAAGCTTCTTTCTGATAATGTGTAAACCTTTATTGGAAATTTTTACTTGTGTTTGATAAAAAAAATTCAAATTCAATAATTCAGATAACAAAATTTAATACTACATGTGGATACATTCACAAACATATTAATGTATAAAAACTTATAATTATGTGGAACTTAAGGCATATAAAATTAACAAACTCTTCCACATGATAAATTCATAACAAATATGATTGAGTGTAAAATATTTGTGCTTTCGTTACTACTAGGATCCATTTTTTTCTGATCCACGAGACACATAAGTGGGGATCTTAATATGAAATCTCTGAATTTAAAAATCATAAAATTACCATAATTTTAGATTCAAACTCAAAATATATTAAGAAATTCCAGTTTTATACTAGCCCCTTCATATGTATTCATTCTATAAAATCCTTGATTTTAATCATTTGTAAGATCTTTTTTCTTTTTTATATTATTCCTTTTTTAAATGTATTTTATAGCTAATGAATGCAATTAATAACATTTGAAATTGTAAAGCATACATTGGATGGAATAAATATTAGTATTAGACATACAAGCAAATATTGAAAAAGTGCATGACACTGAAAAATATGTTCTTGATCTTAGAATATTGCTACATAGTTGTGAATTTACCCTCTTCAAGACATAAAAGCTTCATAATAGGAATATGTTGGCATGTTTGTTTTAATTTTAGACAAAATATTCCTGCTTCTCTCTCTAAAGATCATAACTAATAAAACCAGTTATAGTTTTTTAAACTATGGGATTATATTATAGTAACACTAGTCATATGTGTCCATAACTATTGTCATGTCACAGTTAATACAAGAGTGAACTGGTTAATATTTTTGTCACTGATTTGTCATGTTACGAGTGTAGTAGTTTGAGCTGTATAAGTTTGATGTTTGTTGATAATATATTTTGTAGATTGTAACAAAATGCTAAGATTTTGAGATGATCGCCTAGTTTTGTTATACATTTATCAGTTAAAGTTAATTTTATGCAGTCATCCCATTCCCTGTAATAAGTGGTGCAACTTGGTATCTAACTGTATTTCATTTATCGTTAATCAGGATCCGAAACGCTGTCAGCCACTTGGTGCCAAGACTTGTTGAGTAATATCATGCAAAACACCCCTCTCAGCTGGTCTAATTTCACCCTAATGTGCTTTCCTCCTGTCTTGGCTGAGTTTTTCACTCAATACCAAGTCCAGAAAGAAAATAAAGCACAACTTAAACGCTCAGTGGAAGAAGAATACAGAAAGTGGAAAAGTAAGAGTCTGAAAAATGACATGTTTTGATGTTATTTTTTTACTTGGTGCTGGTACTTGTAATTTTTTGCCCTCCCCTTAAACTTGAGCTTTAAGAATATCTGTAACATACAATTCTTAAACCATTACTGAATGAAAGAGAATCATTAAATATTTGTTTTTATAGATTGATACTAAGAGAGCATTTTGAATTTTGTTTTGAAAGTTAGTATTATAACTTTTTCATTGATATAATGTGAAAAAGCAATTTTAAGAATTTTAAAAATTAACTAACTTCCCTAATCATACTTTGCTACTTTATGACAAATGCATTTATACTCGGTCTGCTATTGTTAAAAAAAACTAGTGTATTAGAAACATAATATTTTCTAAAAAGTTTTGTTCCAAAAAAATTTATATATAAAACAATATCTTAAATCTCAAATTTTATATGCTTAAAAAAAGTCCTGCATGATTGAAGTTACTTATTATTTGCTTTTCTGGTAGATGTGGCATGAGTTGTGTTTGTTATTTGTTTATAGAGTCGTAATTTGCTTTGGTTATTAAAACATGGGCCATATTGGAACCCACATGAGAGTAGTAAGACACTTTTTTTATCAGATGTAATTTCTGAATGTAAGTCTTCCATTGAAAGTGGGATTAAAACATAAATATTATGAGAAAATATTGGTCTTCAAGTTCTGAAGATTCCACTTCTAAAATATCCAGTTACCACCTGGATTGGGTTATAGGAGGTTAGTTAGTTCTAATGAAAATGAAAAACAATAAGATACAAAATAAAAACAGGTTACAAGAAACACACCATGAATGATGTCAAGTAAAACTTAACTACTGAAGTTTAGTTGATATTCTAGTCTACGTAGTTACATAATTGTACAAACAACATAATGATGCCTAGGAGAATATGTACTAATTCCAATATTATAGTACATGAACATCACACAGTTTCCTTTTTAATCAGTATGGAGTTAAAATGTTTACTCAGTTATACAGTAACAATCTTATTGTCCACAAAAGCTAGCTAACATTGATATGCTAGTCACCCAAGGTTGTCTTGGCTTGTTGTGAGAGTAAAATAGATACAACATGATTGACTTAAGATATAACTTGTGTTTTCTATTTAAAGCTGTGTATATATATTAAACAACTACCTTCCCACAAATAGCTTCAGATTGTGAACTGTAGCTTGGATGTATGACATTGTGAGCTTGAACACCCATGTCTGCTCAGAATTTTATGTAGTTTTTTTTTTCCTTCCTCTTCTATATCTTCTTCAGTGTATAAGATGTACAAATGAATTTATAATCTGACAGTGGTTTTTGTATCTATCACTGACGAATCCTACTTCTAGAAATATCTCTTACTTAAGAGCATGTTGATCACCCCCACTTTATATAATTTATATCCTAATTTTGTTTGTTTTATGCAAAGTGTTTTATTTTTGGCCTGTTTTACAAAACTAGTCTTTAAGATACCATCATAGTTCAGAAGATGATCTTTTTTTAGATTTATCTTTAGATTTTAAAATTAACAGTTATGTATCTTTATATATAGATAAACACACATATTTATTTATTTGTGTTTTCTTTGCAGCAATGAGTAATGAAAATGACATTATTGCTCATTTCTCTCTACAAAAAACCACTCCTCTTTTTCTTTGGTAAGTTTATTAAGAAGACACTGTAACCTTAGTTACATTTGTGGTTTTAAATAATATACTACTATCTTGTGTTTAAAGTATCATCAAAGAGTAGACACTAACCTGAATTTGTGTTTAGCTCTTTGGTTGTTAGTGCCAGGACAGACTAAGCACAAAGTTTCTGTGTAAGTTGACCCAGAATTTTGTGTATTGATGATACCTAAAAATTGTAACATAGAAAGTAAAATATTTTAAAAGAGTTTCTAAGGAAATAAAGAAAGTTTAAATTTAAAAAATTTAACAAATTACAGTCTTCATGATCCAAACTTTAATATTTTGTTTACTTGCAGTATTAGGCCATCTTGCTTAAGACTCTGTGTTCTATGTCCTGACATTCTAACCACTGTCCTAGTATTCTACATTGTGTCACACAATTATAGGCTGACTGTTATATTTTTTATGCTTATTGACTAAGAGTTGAAGAAATTGTGAATACTGTACTTGTCAATTCTAATAATTTTCAGATTGATATCGTATACAAACCATAAGATTTAATAAGGTAATTTTTATCAGAATTTTTATTTGATATTTTTTTCTTCATTTAAGTATTCTGATAAAAGTTTTGAAAATATGATCTCTGATATCAGCTTAGATTACCTTTTATTGAGTGGCTCTTTGTAAGTGTTTAATTTTTGTTTATTTAATTCCTGTTTAACCCTTTATCATCTCTACCCGTATATTTACGCATGCTAGACATCATCTCCATCCATACATTTACACCAATTATAGTAATGGAAAAACTCTTCCATAGATGGTAAAAGGTTAAGTACATTTATATGGGTATTAGTTTATGTATATGAGAGTTCATTTTAATGCTGACTAGTGATAATGTCTTCATGACTAATAACATTAATATTGTAGCAACATTGTTGTTACAGCTTCATGTATCATGTAATCAGATTTTGTCTTTTGTTCTCTGTCAGTCTATCTTCAATAATGTTTGACCTAGGCCTATGATCAAATCATTGCAAGTAAATTAATTTTTTTTCTCTAAGAGGTGAAGGTATTGAATGTGTGTGATTTTACATTATTTATTTGAACACAAGTTTGGTTTTAGTGATTATTTTATAAACCAGCTTCTGGTATCTTCTTATTCTGGCTATGATTTACTTATTAATGGATATATCTAGTTTGTTGACGTAAACAAAGATATTCAAGATAACCAATAGAAACTTACTATTAAGCTATGCTATCTCAAAGCTTTAACTGACAAAAACTTAGTACAAGGTAATCTCAGAAGTTCAATAAAATGTATGTCTAAATTTCATAGACTGTTTAATGAACTACACAGATTTATATATAATTTTTTTTTCCATTGTTAAGAAATTAAAATTTTATAATATTCTTTTTTATACACCATGTAGTTACTTTGGAGTACAGGTTTTCAGCCACTTAGGTTAGAGAGTGAAGGTCCACCTGGTAACCATTGAGCTTAACAATAATGATAATTGTGAAAAGCAGCTATGTAAATACTGTGTTTGTTATGAATGATAAAATAATTAAGTTAGTTTAATTCATTCTTCACATAATATCAAAACAAACATCCAAAATGCTTCTAACCTTGTTTTAATTTGGAAAGAGTTGTTAGTAAATGTTAAAAACTTTACATTTTACAGTAAATTATTTTTAAACTTTCTTATTTTGTTAGCCAAACATTGTCACTTTTTTTTTCAATAATGCTTTTAATAGATGATATAAGAGTAGTGGTTCTACATGTTTTTTGAAACTTTTTTTTCAGTTAATAGAAGGTTGTTTTCAAATTCACCAGTTGAGGTTCTGTTTGTATGCAAATTAAAGTGGATGTGGTTGTAGTAAGAGTATATTTCTATCTTTGTTTTATAGCCTCATAAAGGCTTAAAGATAATTGACCGTAAGTTTCCAGATGCAGCTGAGTTTATTGCTACTGAATAATAATTACTTAAATACAAAACAAAATCAAGTTCATTTCAGAATTTACTTTTTTTTAAGATAATGAAGAAAAGATAGAAATGTAAATATAAACATAGTAATGATTTTTTCAAATACTAAAAACTTGTGTTTTGAAATGCTGTTTCAGTGGAACTTTAGGCAGAGTAGACATAGTAGTTTTGAAAACTTTAACGGACTGCAACTGTCTGTTGAAAGGAAATGAGACTAAGTTTCGGCTTCTATAGTGAGGTCTTCTTTAGGTCACTGTAGGTACTTGTGTAGAGTGTTATAAAGGTAGGTGTGGCTATGTGATAAAACTCAGGCTGTGTGAGTTGAGCAAGTGTGGTGATTGGCAGGTGTTGTCAGTAGAACTGTGATATCATCATATTATCTGTAGAGTTTGTTTAGGGTGGTTGTCCACATGTCGATGATGTGCAAACTGTTGTCTCTGTTGACTTCAGGTTGTTGTAGTTTGATGTGGATAGCTTCATTGACTTTTCTTTCTTTCCAGTGGTGAATTTTGTCTAAAATTCTATGTTGATTCCAGTTTATGATATATGCTGTTTTGTAGATATGTTCAGCTAAGATCTGGTTGCATTTTGATGTTCTTTTAATCTTTGTTCTATCATGTGACCAGTTTCTCCAATATAAATGTTACTGCACATTGTATAGGTTATAATGTCAATGGTTGGAATGAGCTTAGGTGTTGGAGACAGCCTGTTAGAACATCTGCACTAGCTTCACCTACTTTCGGTTTCAAAATAAATTCTATGAACAAATCAGTAGGCTTTCTATGGAATTGTTCTCTATGACATTTTCATGGAAGATTTTGAAGCCAGTACCCAACAGACAAGTAAATTGTAACCTAAGATTTGGAAATGCTATGTTGATGACACATTTGTTATTTGGTCTCAAGAATTACCATCACTTAAATATTTCCTCCATCACTTAAATTTTATAAATCCCAGCTTACAATTCACCATGCAGTCAGAAGAAAGCAAGACCCCTTCCTTTTCTGGATGTACTCATTCATCGACAGGATGACTATCTCACCACTGCTGTTTCTAAGAAACCCACCCACACTAACAGATACCTACACTACAGGTCTAACCATCTGAAATCTATTAAGTGAGGAATTATATCAAACACGTTTGTCAGAGCCAGAAAGATTTGTGACAAAAGTCATGTTGAAAAAGAATTAACTTTCCTAGAGAAAGTTTTCAAAAACAATGGATACCCTCCCAGTTTTATATCTTAAAGCCAAGAAAAACAAGATTAAAAGAACAGAAAAATGCAACTAGACAAACACATCCAGATAAATTGGCTTTGGCTGAACATAACTACAAAACAGCATATATCAGAAACTGGGATTAACATAAAATTTTAGACAAAGCTTGCCACTGGAAAGAAAGAAAAAAGTCAAAGAAGTTATCTACATCAAACTACACCAACCTGAACTCAACAGAGACAACAGTTTGCACATTATTGACCTGTAAACAACCACCCTAAACAAACTCTACAGATATTATGATGATGTCACAATCCTACTGACAACAACCACTCAATCAGCACAGCCTGAGTTTTATCATGTGATGGTGGTTACCTTTATAAGTTATCTGAGGAAGGCCTTGGTTTAGAAGCCAAATTGTCACCTCCTTTCTTTCAACAAGTAGTTGCAGTCCATTAAAGTTCTAACCTATTGTGTTTTGAAATGTTTATAATCAGTTCTTCAGAGACTTTTTGTTTTCTTCCCATTTTTCATTCATTTCATTCTGCACATTTTTAGTGTTTTAACTTTTCTCTTGTCTTTATCCAATTCTGTAGCCTTTTATGGAAAATGCTTTTGGAGAATGATAGAATAAGTCCTTTAGCATACAAGTAAGTGGTGTTTTAATCTAGACTTGATATTCTCCTTAATCTATGGTAAATAAATGTTTTCACATATAAATTGTAGTTTGTCTCTTAAACCAGAAATAGTATTTTACTAATGGTAACAGTGTTAGTGGGGTTGGCCAGTTCCAGTGTTATGAAGAAAAAAATCCTCAAACTTAACTCTACAACTGTTGTGAAAGATCATTTCTACTTAAGATTTTACATCATGTTCAATTTGTTTTTATTTCTGCTTCATTTTAGAAGCTTTTGTGGATTTAAGCTTAACTTGATAATGTAATGTTAATGTCTCAGAACATTTTAAGTAGGCAGAAGTTTATGTATTTTTTTTAATAAGCTTTATTTTCAATTTTGTTACAACTAAAAAGTTTTTGGAAATGCTTTTTTTTTCTTCTTTTGCCAAAGTAATGTTTTCTGTTGTAGTAAAGTCCTATTTATCATGTTTACTTTCATGAGATGTATATATATGTATTAAAACTCCTTGTTATTTCTTTGGTTTTACTACACATTTAGCAGTCACTGTGGGATTGTATTACTTTGCTGTGTTTTACTGCTGGGTAAATTACCTGCTGCTAATTATAGTTCACTTACCCAGCTACTTTGGCTTTGTATATACTATTTTTACCAGCGTTTTTGTACTTAATAAACTCAGTCAGCAGTATCACTTTAACTACAACTTTCAATGTCTCTTTTTCTTAAATAAATTTGTTTTCAAATAATTTTCAAACTATTTCTAATGCTTCTGAGTGAGTGAGGAGAAGTTTAAAAAGTGTCAGTACATTCCTATGATACATTTAGTGGTATGTGTTTAACCCTTTCCATATGGGTCAAAGGTCAAGAAAAAAATCTAAATTAAATATCTTATTTTCCCAAAACTACATACTTATAGGACCTTTCATCTCAAATTTAAAGAATTTCTTCCACTAATTTCATTTTTGTAATACAGTGTAAGTAGGTCATAGACAAAGGGTTAATGTTCAGTCTCTGCTCATCCATTTGTAATGAAATATGACAGTACTGTTACTGGGTAAGTTGATAAACTGCAACGCACACAAACATTTTCAAATCTACTGACTAACTTTGCCTACTTCAGAAACATCATCAGAGTGACAGAGGATACAAAGTCATGATTTTCTAATTGTACAAAAGCAGTTAAAAGTAGAGCTAGTGCCAATAAATATAAAACATATAATGTAAATTCAAACATCTAATGTAGGAAATGGTGTTTCTGATAGTGTTGAATTTCCAAAGTTTCATGGAGGAGCATGCCCTCAGACTCCCTTAAGGGTATCATGACTATACAGTCTTGGCTCTGCCTCTGCATCAACAGGGTTACCAACCTAAATTTAAATAGTATCAACAATCTATTTTTAAAGAGAATCAGAATTATACTATAAAGTTTAAAAGACATCTTTATCAGTTAGAGTCAGTTGTATCAACCTGGGATGAAAAGATGCAAGCTAGGGTAAATATTCTATCACATAGTAAAAAGTTTTCTAAACTAAACTGACTCCTCCTTTCAACATCAAATCAATTCAAAAATATCTAGAAATAAATGTAGAAGTTCAAGATTTGTGTGAAGTTAGAACTGGAAGTGTTTGGAAATGGTTACAAGAAAATATTTCATGTGTGAAGTATTTAAACATTAGAAAGAATCACAAAAATGAAAGAACAGAGTAATTCTGTGTGTATTGGTTTGTCTGTTGTTTATAGGTCTTTAAATAAAATTTTGATTATATGTAACATCTGTCCCATTTCAAGGTTGTAAGCCTGAATTTGCTGTTAGTTGTTTTTTTCTTTATAAAAACTTAATAATATAGTATTATTTTATTTCTTTTATACTTGTGTTTTGACTTGAGTTGATATCTCCATCAACTTCCATAATTATCTTGCCACAATTTTTGCTTGTTTAAAGTAAACTTTTTTTTGTGCAGAGTGATTACGGTTTTCAAACAATTTTACAAAAGGAAACAAAAGTAACTTTTAATTATGCAGATAAATTAAGGATAAAAAATGAAGCAAATGCTTATTTACACTTATGCCTACCATTTTGTTTAAGCAATGTTTGATGTGCTTAATAAGAATAGAATTTGAATTTTACATCTTTTAACTTTTCTTCTTTAAATAATATGGGAACCTTAAACCAACTGGACCATGTTCCAGTGTTGTATTCAGGTACACTTATGTCCTACAGCTAAGTTTTAAAAGTATGTACAAATCTTATGCAGAGAATAAAACAAACATGGTCAGTGAAGAAAAGAAACACCAAACTAGTGAACAAATTAACCAAATCTTTATTTCCAATAAAAAGGATACTTGTTTGTGAATTCTTTTCCTCTTCAACAAAATGTGTAACTAGTGAAAAGAAGAAAGAATTCATGAATGACTTAGAGGCCTAATATATTCTTTGACTTGCTACACCCTCTGCAATAGACTATAATTTCAGTGAATTCTGAAATACTGTCTAAAAAAAAGTGTGGTATATCAGAATCTAATGCTGCATATGCCAATTACTATCCCACACAACATTTAGTGCGTAGAAAAATTCTTAACTATTACCAATTTGTACAAGTATCTATTTCATCCCTTAAAACTAGACTGCCATTTCCAGGGTGTGGACACAGTCACATGGTCAAAATGAATTTCTATCTGATGGCATATACAGCCTTCATCCAGATAAAAGGATTAGTACATGTACATGCTTATGAACCTTCAACATTGTTTTAATTAGAATGTCAGAACTACATACAGAACACCTGCATGAAAATTTAGAAAATTTTTCCTGAATATATCTGAGCAAAGATGTATTCTAAAGTAGTTATGGAAGGGTGTAATTCATGACTGTTTCAGTCATTACACCTGATGTTAGCAAACATTAACAAATATTTTATAAATTTAAGCATTCCATGTAGCTCACAATCATAATGTTCACAAACAAAGGCAAACAGTCTTGAGAGCAGTTTGTCAAGCTGTAGCAAATATGGCTGCCAACATTCACTTAACACAGTGTACAACCTTTGGGACAACTAATGCCACATTGTTTATACCGAACACGGTTTACTTCATGAATAATGATGAGTATGTTTGAATAACTATAGCTAACTTTTATCCTCTCATTACTAACAAAGTATCTGTGATATATGTGAATTATAATACGAAGAAATCGTCAAACAATGAGGTACTGTTCATTAAAAAAAATTACATTTTCCTCTAAAATTGGATAAAAAAGTAAACAACTGCCACATTACATATAAGTTCAAATACAAGACATCATTATCATTTTCTACCCGATAAAATCAGAGTTCCTCTTTCATTTTTTCAAACATATATTTAATAAAACAGTAAGAATAAAAAGATTTTAAGTATAACTTATCTTGCCCTAATTTACCAGTTTTTATATTGGTAATATGGATTAAAAATTAGATGTAGCCTAAGGAGAAAATGACTAAACTCCAAACCCATCACATGTAATTAAATAGATCTGAAACAATAATCAAAACAAAGCCACATTCCCAAATGCTATCATGATGGCCATTAACATAAATGGTGGTTCACGTAATAGTGGAATGATACTTGCAAGTGGTGTATGTCTAAGGAAAAACAGATAACATTTCATCAAACAGACTGCTTGATGCATTACCTGTACATACTGCAGCATTAGCCAGACAAATAGCAAACTTCCAACATGAAGACCAACAGTATTTGTATAAGTATTTCTGTTTCCTACAGTAATGTTTTTCATTTTGGAAAAGATTTCACAAAAAACATCTTATACTTTCTCCATACAGAATCTTGGATAGAATAGGTGCTCGTGCTCTTTCAGCTCACTTGAGAACCTTTGCAGATTTTCTTGTTTTTGAATTTGCAAACTCTCCTGGTGGCCAATATGTTAACAGGGTAAGGACTAAAAATGTTTTGCAGAATACCAACAGGGTGAGTCAGAAGTCTTGAAAATTCTGTTACAGTACTTAAACAACTGAAGAATTAACATATTTTCAGTGCCATTTACACACACATCTTCTTACCTGATTGTGAACCTTGCTTTTACGTAGTTAACACTCAGTGTATCTTAGAGATAAGGATAAAAAAAATCATTTAATATATTAAAATCACAAAGGGGTTTAGATTTATTAGTATACAGAATTATATATTTACTTAACCAAAAATTGTGTAAGTAGCTTGGTACTGATACGTATTCTTTATTTTTTACTCTGTACTCTGTGCTGTTGAGTAAAGTAAACGGTTTTACTTAAGATAAAATTTAGTATAGAATCACATATATTCTTGTTCAAACACCATAAAACTAGCTTATTAAAAACCTCATTCCATGTATTTAATGAATTTTAAGTCTCATTTCAATAATATTAATAAAAGATGTGTAAAAAAAGTGAAATACCAAATAATTAGTGAATTGCATCTTATAAAACAGAATTTTGATGAGTAAAATAGAGGTCTGAGGTGTTGATTTAAGGTGGGGCTGTTTTCGTCAATTAAGATAGCTTTTTTATTTTGCATTTATTGATGTTAGATTCTTTTTTAGATCAAAACACAAGCCATACAATCCACACTTTATCCTCCCCTAATTAATTGAATAAAACAGCCCCACCTTAAATAAACACTCCGGAATACCAAGATACCTATATTAGACTGTGAAGCAATATCTGGTCATATGACTTCTTTGTTCTATAATGTGTTTTTATATATACATATATTCATGGATCTCTGTAAACTACTTGTATCTGAGAATGACAAAATCTTTTCAAAATGTCGTACATTTATAATAAATTTTTTCATTACCCTATCAAGCCATCTCAAAAGCTTTAAATTCATAAATTGTATCTTCTGAGATGATGCCACACTTCTGCACACAGTTTAACTCTCTTTCCCTTGCATCTGTCTTAGAGATTTGCATGCCACTAGCCTTGAGGCAACTCCCATCTAATCTCACATGGTCTAAAATGAATTGCAGTACTGCATGATGACATAATCATGTGGCAAAGCCATCTATCAATAGGAGAACAACACATCTGCATATGCAACAACCCCCCTTCCCCCCTATTCATTTGCACTCAAGAACTTCATTTTTCTCCTTGGCACTGTATTAATCAGATGTGTTTCAAATTTTTGAGTTTGTGTTCAATTTCATGATTATTGCATTGTTAATGTAACATTTCAAAAAAGGTTTTTGCAGTCATTCATTGTACTGTCTCCAGTAAAATACCTTTCCAAACTGCAATACCAATGGGTCCTTTTCTTTGGGTCTCCCCACTGTGACCCCCTCCCCACTCATCAACTGGGGCATGAAGATCCTTGCCACATATTATTTCCTAGATACTGGGGTGGTGGACCATGGAGAACCCTCACCAATTGGACTCGTATACTGGGATGATATACTATTGAGTACCAATACGGTGGGAAGTGGGATTGTGGTGTCACTGTCGGTGTAGTGCAGATCACCCTTTATATAGCTATACATATAACACATGCCACTTGTGCCCTCCTCCTTGTAGTCTGTTCAGTTGAGTCGAAGCAAGCATGTATCACTATACCAGGTCTTCCTCCTGTGGTTATATCTGTTCAGTAGAGTTGAGGTGACCACACACTATACACCTGTGCCCTCCTCCTGTGGGCAGCATCTGTTGACTCGAGGTGTGTACAAACTATACTAATCTCTATGGCTTGACTACTGTGCCCTCCTCCCACTGCTGGTGTTGGTCCAATAAAGTCTGAAGGTACAGTCTGAACTCACCCTAACCACACTACATGTATTGGCTCTCTGACCTCTTGAGTGCAAGTACTTAGATGACCATGTTGTTATTCTACTCATTTTCCTCTTTCTCCCTTTCTTCTTGGGCGAAGAATTACCCTAGATGAGATGAAATGTGGTCTCCCACGAGTGTGCCCCTATGGAGCCTCTGCGTTCAGGTGTCATATTCCATAAGCTTCCTTTGAGTGCTTTCTGAAGGGGGCTCATCTGGGTAAAACTTTTCACTAGGCCCTTCACCATTTCAGTGTGGGATTCTAGCTAAATTTTGTGAAGAGGTATGGTGTCATCTTGGAAATTAACATTTTCCTTAACTGAAAATGTATTTCCAATAGATACCTTTTCACATACATTCCTGCCTAACCTTCCCACCTTGGGCACACTTTTGTATTCCTTGCCTCATCAAAATATGAAGTTCTCAAGTGCAAATGCATATGGGGGGTTGTTGAGCATGGAGGTGTGTTGCCCTCCTATGGGTGGAGGGCTTTGCTGCATGATTATGTCATCATGCAGTAGCACAATTCATATTAGTCCATGTGAGATTAGGTGAGAGTTGCCTCAAGGCTAGTGTGCAGATGTGCAGAGAAAGTAGCTAAACTGTGTGGAGAGGTGAATATCTGTTGGAAATACATTTTCAGATAAAGAAAAAGTTAACTTTCAAGTGTCACAGCAGTGAAACTGAATAATCATGCACATATGGTAAAGACAGATGAAGATTGATATATTCAAATACATTAACAAAGTAGTAAAAATATTTATTTGCAGTTACTTTATATGTATGTTTTTTTTCCTTTTTAAAGACTTGTCATTTCATTTTGGTGAGATTAACATGTAAGAAACATTTTTAAAGAAACAATAAATTTTGGATTCAGACAGTCTTTTTTCATGTTACATGACAATGAATGCTTTAACAAGTTATTTATATTTTTTTCCTTAAAAAAGCAATGGCCCTTAGATTTTAAAACTCTAATAAGTGACTTTTATGACTTGCCAAAAATATTTTGGATTATTTGGTCAACAAAAATGCTTATTGTTAAGGTAATAAATAAACTTGATATACTATTGTTTCAGTATTGTATGTTAAGAAATCTAATCCAATGCTAACCATACAGATCAGAACTAAAAATTAATTTTTAGATTACTCTTTTCAGAGTATAAAGTAAAAACAGACATTTCCAGGTTGTATGTAAACTTGAAAATTTATACGTCATTTAATTAATATAAGATTAATAAGGCGCAGGTTGTCCTGTAGTAGATCTCTGAATTTTGAAGCCACTGAACTGAGTTTAAATCTGTGTGACACTGCAAAGTTTCCCCTCATTTTAAACTGTGGGAGAATTATAAGAGTGACAGTCAATCCATTAGCTTGGATGGTAAATAGTATGGAGCTGTTTTGATGACTGGATGGTAGCAAGTAGCTTTAATAACTTTGCCATAAATACAAATAGTTAAATTAATCTTTTAAAATGTTCATCTCAGATATTGTCAGCCTCTAAAACTTGCAGTTTACTGTGTATGACAGATGAATTCTGTTTGTGTTCTCCTGCAGTATATTGATGCTTTGAATAACCTGATTTGGAAGTGCCATGTCATTACCTTGGATAGATTGATTCTGTGTCTGGTGAGTAGGTTTTCAATTTTTTATCATAATCAAAAAAGAGCCTCTTGTTCCTGGAAATTCAAAAGTTTCCATGAATCTCTTTGTCATGAATGTTTTCTCTATTCAACGCCTAGTCTTTGAGTCAATGAGACTGAACTTGGGGGATTGGGTGGGTGACAGAAACATATATACTCTAATAAAGGGTTCAATCTGTTAACCTCTAAAACCACACTTTACTGCCAAAAAACTTGTCTTTCAATGATGTTCTGCCACAAAGATGTGGAGATTTAGGGGGTTGCAAAAAGTAAAAAATAGTGTTCATGTTGGTGTAATACAATTGGCCAAGTAAAAACTACTTTGAATATTAGATCCTGATTGGTGTAAAACAGAGATGCAACCATTGATTGGTTTATATTTCCTCATGTGCCATTCTGGTGCTGCTACTACAGCTAGGCTTTACTTCCTCATAGTCTGGAAACTAGTGTGCATTTGGCCACCATGTTGAACAGATCAGATTCCAGGTATGACAGGGAGCTCAAAATCTTAATCTAGAATTTAAACAGAGAGTACCAGAATAGCTTGTTTGGGAATCAATCCACTAAAAAGTCTCCCTGACTTGCAGACTGTGTGCTAAATCATGCATCAAGAATGCTATGAGTGTTATTGTAATGTAAATTGCCAAAATGCAAAGTATCAATTGGTTATAGTTTAGTAATGATGCCAAGACACACAATGAATATTGATTGTTAACTTGTACTGTGAATGCCATGTAAATGTAACTCAGTTGCCATGATATGAAGTGCACATTGTTTATAGTTTAGTAATGGTGCCAAGACACACAATGAATATTGATTGTTAACTTGTACTGTGAATGCCATGTTAATGTAAATCAGTTGCCAAGATACAAAGTGCACATTGTTTATAGTTTAGTAATGGTGCCAAGACACACAATGAATATTGATTGTTAACTTGTACTGTGAATGCCATGTTAATGTAAATCAGTTGTCAAGATACAAAGTGCACATTAATTCTCTGTACTGAGTGCCTAGTAAATTTAAATCAATTGTTAATATACAAGTCTTTTACTTCTCTACAGAAGGTGATTATTTTTTCTGTCCATCATAAGTGTGATGTTAGTGTATTATTATTATGCTAACACTTTAAAATCATGTGTCAAGACACAGAATACTTATTGATATTATGTTATGTACCACAATAACATTTTAGTATGAACTAAGTATATTCTGTGTATTATCAATTTGGAACATTGCCAAGACAAGAAAATTTATGCTTATTAATTTTATGTGTAATGAGTTTTATGTTACTTTTAGGGAGATGTAAAGACTTAAAGTATCCACTATATGTTTTGTTATTGTTGTGTAAATGAAATCCAGTGAAAAGTATTGTAATTGATGAAGATGGAACAAACTTATGTTGATATATTATTTACAAAAAAATATTTTTTTATTATTATGCATGTTTGTAGGTTATGATTTGTTTGCATTTTTTTATCACATTGAAAACTGTTTATGGTCTGTTTTTGTGATTTGTGTGTAAAAACATATTTTAAGGTCAGGGTATTGTTTTGATAATCATTATCTATTTTTTAAACTGTACCTGTGTTTTACATGGACTCCCCAAGCCTTTTTATCTGTGGTCTTGAAACAATCTGGTGGGATTTTTGCAGAGTCCTTTATCCAGCTTCATAAAGACCAAACAAAAAAAGCAGAAGGAATCTAAAAAAAAAAATGCCCACATATTGAATACACTGCATAAATCTATCCTAAAAATAAATCAAGGAACTGTTACCATTAAATTATTGGTTGAAATGTTTCCGTAGGCACTGAGAAGTTTTGAAGGCAATGAAGCTCAGGTCTGTTTCTTCATCATTCACATGCTCTTATTGAGACCAGAAGAGTTTAAGAACAGGGTATATGATTTTGTGAAAGATGTGAGTATAAGTGCATGTTTCAAAAGTACTGAAAATAACTTTTTATGGTAATGTTGTTGTTGTTTTTTTGTCCAGTATATGCAGCTGTGTTGCTAGATGTATAGCCCATGACTTTTGTTTGCTGGTGCATTCAACAATTATTGACTGGTTATGAGGGCAGGAAATGATCTGTTGTTTAGACTGATGCATACTTTATATGTTTATTGGTATGATCACATGATGATGAGCTGTTATATTTTGAAAATTGAACAATTTCTAAATCTGATTGATTTTATATTAATTTTGAAGATAAGATCAAAACAGTCAATGAAATGTTAAACTTTAAGATTTACATGTAGGATAAATACACTATGTGACAGTGTTAATGAATCAGGTTTTAGTAAAACTAAAAACAGAAGAGGAGTGGTGATAGAATAAAACAACTACTGATTGGTGATTTAAAAGTTCAGTATAAAATTTGCCTAGAATTCTGGTAAGATTTCCAGTGTTGTTTGTAAATTAGGGCTAAATGAATCAGTGTGTTTTTATTGTGTTGCAAAAAATTGTTGTCTACAAAGTTCTTCTGCCTAAACAACTCTGCAGCTCTTCATTTATGAGTAACTGAAATCTTACACTATATGTTCACATTTATTTTAATGGATTTGAGCAAATTGTTTGTAATTAGGCATAAGTGAAGCAGCTTGTTTTTACTGTGCTGTAAAAATTATTATCTGGATAGTTCTGCTATGATGTTGCATACAAGGCAACAGCCTTGACAACCAGGCAACATGGATGGGAATTGTTGTCCAGCTTTCAAGGCAACATTGAAGAATGTTTCATACTGTGTGATGTGCTCTTGGCCAATTATGGCAAATAATTCATTGAGCCCAGTTGAATATAGCCATTTTAGACCTTTATGTATTGCTGTGTACAAGTCTAGAAAAAGTATGGTTAATGTGTTTAATGCAAAACTGTGATTTCAAAATTATATTTTATGTGATGTTTGAGCTCTGTTATTGTGCATGTGTGTGCATATATATATCAGAATATGACACTTTCATTGAATTCAAAATCTATTTTAATTGACTTTGCACAAGGAAGATTCATTAACCTTGCATTACAGATATCAATTATGTTCAGTGTACTATGTCATGATATAAAAGACTGTTTAGATATTATTGCTTAATTTATTTTTGTGAGTGAATATTTTATTATTGTTTAGTTTTTGTTATAATAAATGTTAAAAGCAAACGATTGTAGGAAGTTTTGTTAATAATTCATTGATGTTGAGATTATCGAACATGATGTGCAGTACATTGACATCAAGAATATAGAAGGTGGATACAAGATTAAGTGATAAAGATATAAATTGCATGAGATGAGTGGAAACAGCAGACAAATGATAGCAGAAGAAGGTAAAGTTACAAAAGTTTTGCATGAAGCAAACTACCAAAGAAGTGATAAGCCTAATGGTTAATATGTTACATTAAGACTAGCAATAGAAATGAAGTTAAGAAAAATAATTTATTACGTCAAAGCATGATTCTAAAGTAATTGAATCAGCCTCAGTACAGGAACAGAGGATTTTCAGAAGAAAGAAGACCAAACGATTAAGGTAACTCGCACCACGTGTAAGTGAATCACATACAGGATACTAGTATGATAGTAATAGAAAAGGCAGTTCGGCTTGTCAACTGAAATTCCAAAGTAATTGAATAGGCCTAAGTGGACTTTTCACAAGAAGAAGATAACTATATATATATATATATATATATATAGT